TGGTTGGATGGGTGGATGGGTGGATGGATGGATGGATGGATGGATGGATGGATGGACAGATGGGTGGTTGGGTAGATGGTTGGATGGGTGGATGGATGGATGGACAGTGGATGGGTGAATGGATGGACAGATGGATGGTTGGGTAGATGGACAGATGGATGGTTGGGTGGATGGTTGGATGGGTGGATGGACAAATGGACGGTTGGGTGGATGAATGGATGGGAGTGTGGATAAACGGAGGGATGAGTACATGCATGGACAGACAGATAGACGGATGGGTGGTCCGGTGGGAGCGTGGTGGGGGATGGATGTAATTACGGATGGATGGAGCAGAGGTTCGTTTGTCGTTAGGTGGTAGGCTCACATGGAATAGTTGTGCTCTTACTAAAGGCAAGAAGTGGCAGAGGAGGAAAGGATCCCTACATCAAAACCAACCCAAAGCCAGAGAGCCTTTCTCATCACTCCCCTGGCAGCCGCCCCCTCCCTTTGCCCTTCCTGCTCTTCCCTCGTTGGTCTCCCATCCAGTTTTGCCTCAACAGCACTGAACCAGTTCATGGCTGGCAGACTGGTCATCCCAGTTGGTCCTCCCCCCTGCTCAGTCCCGGCCTCCAGAGCTGGTGGAGCTGACGCTAGAGAGCCAGCTTTGACCACAGCGGCAGGCCACGCGGAGACACGGGAGCCAGCAAGGGAAAGAGGCTTCCGAACCTCCATGACTGGGGAATTGAGGTAATTCTGAGCCTGACGTGTGGGAAGCAAGCTGCATCCGCCAGCCTTCTGGTTACAAGAGCTCAGGTGGCCATAGATGCTGCCGGCCTGGCTCAGCCGGGCTTCTGCCTCTGACTGGCCCTTAGCAAGGGACAGACTGCCGGTGTCCCCAGCAGTGAGTCCCCAGAAAGGTTCCATTCCCGGGACCCACAGACTCCTGGGTCAGAGTGCCTGGGCCCTAGGGGCTGCGCCCTGCCCAAAGTGCAAGGAGGCAGATGGGGGCTGCACCCACACGTGTCCGCGTCAACATGGGGGCCGAGCCCCGCGTGGACAACCAGGGGTCAGCAGGGCCACACACTCCAGAGTCCCCCAGCTTTGTCTGAGCTTCACCATCCGCCGGGGTCTGCCCCTGAGGCTCGGCAACTTGCTCTGAGGCTCCTTCCTCTCTTCTAGATGAAGCCACACTTCTGTCAAAAAAACAATGAAAATGATGTTTGAGTTTAGGAAGAAAAATGTGCTGGGCAGAGAAGACACTGCTGTGTTTCCCAGCTTGTCCGGGGGTCCTTCGGTATTTCTTTCCAAATCAGCACCGCAGGCTTCGGTCACAAAACCCAGGACGCAAGTTCAGAGTCCGCCCCCTTAGCAGACCGAGGCCCCCGGAGCCCTGGACATGGGCAGAGACGGGGAGTCTGTCCCCTCGGCCCCTTCGCAGACATGGAGCGAAGCCAGCTCTGCAGGCCTGCAGATACACGGCCCGTGAAACCTGCTACTTTCCGGCCGTCCGAGCAAACCCGCGAGCAGGCTCTCCCCACCGCCGCCCCCCACCGGCTTCCGGGCGGGGCAGGGGCCACTCAGCGAGGCCTGGGGAGAGCTCAGCCCCCACGGACCCGTGTTTGGGCCGGAAGGGGTTCCCCGGCCCATCCCACTGTCCCCCCACCTCCCGCCCGCCGGGACGCCTGGCTGAGGGCACCTCTGAACCAGTGCCTACCAGCCCTTCCCGGGGCTTTGCCCTGGGACTGGCGGGCACGTCTGCCAACGGCGCGGCCATGCTGGGTGGACACCAGGGGCAGCTGCTCTCACCCTGACCTGACCCCTGTCCTCGCACCGTGTCCCACAGACAAATCCACAAGAAATGTGAATTCTCAAGATACAAGAGGGAGGGTCCGCAGAGGCCTGGCCGCAGACACTGATCTGGCCGTCAGATCCGCCAGCGGCCGGGCGGGGCGGGGGAGACGCACTGTGGCCTGGGCCCTCTGGGGCAGCACGGCGCCCGTGGCGACCTGTCCTGGCGTAGGGCAGCCGGGTGGGGGGCTGGGGAGCGCCCCCCGAGTCAGGGCAGGGCCGCATCGGTGCTGTCCCAGCGGGCTAGGAGGCTGGGGGGCGGGGGGTTATGCGCAGCGTCCTGACCGAGGGGCCATCTGACAGCCAGCATAGACAGCCTCCTCAGGCCCTCCCCAGAGACCCAAGGGCCTTCTCCTTCCAGGACGGCAGGCTTCTCCCGGGTCTCGCTGGGACCGGCAGGCAGGCAGGGGCTGGTAGAGGGGGTGGCGGGAGGCGGCCCCGACATGCCTTACACTCCAAGAAGCGACTCAGCCCCCAGGAGGCTTGGGGAGGAGGCTCTGGTCCCAGCAGTATCTAGTGTGCAACCGAAAGCCGCCTCTCCTGGCCAGTCTCTCCGCAGTAGTCTTCCCGCCTGCCGGGCACTTGCTCAGGGGATGTTGGCAGGGTGCCAACCCCACACTGAGCACCTGGCCAAGCTCAGCCTCGAAGAGAACATATTCGTTCTTCATGAGGAGTTCTCCAGCCAGAGTCCAGAGAGCTCAGAGATCGGGGAGACAGCTCAGAGACTGGGGAGACAGAGAGCTCAGATGCCCGTCTCTCTGCGTGGCCCACCTCCCAGCAGAGCCTTGGCAAGTGCGACGTCTCAGACCACCCCTCACCTGGCGTCCGGCACAGACAGCTCGCCCAGCTTCCTCTCCCGCCGGCCGGCCGGTCACCCAGGACGCTCCTGGGGGAGGCCTCCCCTCCACAAAGCCTGGGCAGGCCGCCCGGTCTCGGTGCCAGGAGGGTGGCAAGGCCAAGTGTGGAGCCCCTCCTCCCGGGCAGGGCTTCCTGAGGGGTTCCTGTGCGGCCTGGCTCAGTCTGCCAGCCCCCTGCCTGCCCCAGGTGGCCCCCAGCACCCTGGGGTTCCTCAGCCCTGGGCCTGCTTCAGCAAGACCATGGCAGGGCGGGCAGCCCTCAGCGCTGGCAACGATCACAGCTGCATGGGGCCCCGTCCCCTTCCTGCCCTGTCCCCTCAAGGCAGGGCACAGCCACTGAGAGCCAGCCCACAGCTTCTCTGACGGAGCGGGCACAGGACACCTTAGGAGTCAGATGGGGGGGCCTGAGCAGGTGAGGAGGAGCTGCCCTGGGTCCCTTGCCCA